GCGATGACGATGACGATGGCGATGACGATGACGATGACGATGACGATGATGATGACGATGATGATGATGATAATAATTTATCCCTTTCATACTAATTAGTCTCCTTTCTTTGCTTAAATAGTTTTACCCTTTTTTGGTTTGCGCCTTCATCGTTAATTATTCTTGTTAACATCTCACTTTGTCATACTATTTATTGCATATTTCATTTTATTTCTCACTGTACAACTGACGACGGATGATGTCTCATCCGAAACATGTAGTTTAGTGCGAAACCATTCGCCTGCGGCTCGTGATTCCACAGCTACTTTGAAAATGTTATGACCCAATTTATCATCAATAAGAGGACAGACGTATAAAACACTGACGTCAATTTGTTAAATAGAATAATAAGCAATCAGATTATGAGCTCGAGATTTCTATCACGTGATAGTTGACAACGGCGCAGCCCGAGTCAGCTATCACGCATAGATATCGAGAGCGAATAATCTTGTTTTACTAGAAATCTACTAGTCGTTCAAAACTTTATCTTAATACTCTTCACAGACACCTCGAAAACGCAAGTTACTCCAGCAATAATACTCGATAACTGCTCGTTAAAATACTCCGAGTAAATCGATTTATAGATTCACTGTGGGATTTCTCATAAGTACCCTTCTGAATCCACTTTTTCGCTCTATCGGGAACCTCGTTCCTAGGCTCTTGCCTGGGAACAAAGTTGTCTATCGGGTTGAAAAGCATCCTGGGCCTGATTCTCGACTACAACTGAGCGCCATCTTGGATTAGTGTAGGGAACTCGTGTGTGGCAACTTTGCAAGGGAATTACTGGGTGTTACGAGAGAGAAGAAGGGTGAAGATGCCTGTTAAGGTGAATCCAGCGATTCGGGTTCGTTGAAACCTTCCAGTTAAAGGCAACTTCAAATGATCATGACTTTCTCATGCTATGCATATATGCTATGTTCAGCAGCTTAACCTTCCTTAGTTTTAGTCCCGGGGTCCTAGTTTTTGTTGAATGTTATTCAGTTATTTCTGTTAGCTGTGCCTATTTCAATAAATTGTGTAGTGTGACAGGCTTTACGTGGAACGTAAAGAATTGCCTTCGAAGATCGGACTTGTGATCAATATACTTGGTCCTAAAGTCGATTAGCCCCAAGCCTGTTAGTCCCCAACCAGAAGTCGGTTAGCCCCCCCAAAATAATTGTCTTTTGAACTCAGTAAATACATTTGTTGGCAAGCGTGTGTTTTGATAGAGAAACAGGTCGTTTATCACCGAGTGTGGTCTGAGAAGAATTACAAGGAGCCCAAAGGTTCCAAACCATGAAATCATGGGTGCCCAGCACTTAAGTTTACATAAAAAAAGTAAGTTTTTCCAGTCGCCCAAAGGCAAAAGTTAGGCGCCTGTGGCACCCGGTTGTTTCTA